AGAGATGGCAGCGACCCGTATTGGGAACTGCGACGTAATCTAGCCGGTGCGAGGTCTCTTTATCAGGCGACCACCAAGTCGGGCCAGCTGCATGAAAAGTGTTGACTAAGGCACGGTTCGTAGCATTGCAGAGATGCACCGGCTGAAAACCGTTGTCGTTGCTGTCGTCGGTGTTCTTCGTGCCAACTGCCTGCGACTGCAAATCACTGCCAATATGCGCATTGAAATCCCCAAGAAGCCACACTGCTGTTCGAGCTGGTACCCCGTGTACGGCTTGCTGCAACTCTGTGAAGAAGTGCTGTCCGTCGGCATCCGGTGCAGTGTTGCGGGGAGCATAAGCAACGATGAAGGTGTGATCTTTGTGTCGGCTGCTCTGCCTGTCCATGACTCTTAGTCCTCCTAATCGGCCCAGGCAGTGTCTGCCCGGATCAATCCGTTGCACGAAGTGCTTCTTGTCAAAGATAGTGCAATCCAACAGCAACATCACTCCGCTATGAGACCATGTGCTTCCTTTGCCGCAGGAGAGGCAATTGTAGAGGCCTCGCCCTTCTCGGCTTCTCACTGTCCACTCAGAGCGGACTTGGTCATGTTTACAGCAAGTGCCCTGAAGAGCTGCAACGTGTATGTTGCGAGCATGCAGATCTTCAGCTATTTCGACAAGACGCGCACAGGCGTATCCTAGAGATTGGCAGTAAGTCAGCATCCGCCAATCAAGGTTTCGACGGCTCAATGCTTCTCTTGTGACATGAAGCTTCTTTGGCACGTGCCACAGTTTCCTTCGGAAAGGAAGCGGCCAGGTGTGGTTCGTGTTGCACAGGTTGCCCTCTGTATCTTACCCATCCCCACAGAAAGAGATGCCGGAGTGCTCGCATGACAGCTCTTTTACGTGTAGGCTCGGTGCGACTGTTGCCCATCGAAGCTGCAGCTGTCTGCATTTGCAGGTCTGAGTAGGGTTCGCACACCCTACTCACCCTCACTCCAACCTTCTGTCCATCGCTCACCGTGCCCTATGGCCCCGGTCACGTAGCAAAACACACAAGTGTTCGATTCAGGTCATTCGACGACCCATGGAGTCACGCCGCCGACTGGCGATACGGACGTGGGGCCCCCGTGCACGTAACAAACACGAATGTTCGATTCAGGTCATTCAACGATCTATGGGGTCAACACCAGTGTTGACCGGCGTTACGGACATCGGGTCCCCGAACATGCAGCAAAACGCGAGCGTTCGATTCAGGTCATTCGACGATCCATCGGGTCACACCACTGGCTGGCGTTGCGGTCGTGGCGTCCCCGTACACGGAACAAAACACGAGTGTTCGATTCAGGTCATTCGACGACCCATGGGGGCACACCGACTGGCGTTACGGACGTGGGGTCCCAGGTTGGGCATTCAGAGAGTCTCACGGTAGTCTTTGAGGTTGGGGAATGTTGGGGATTTCAGGGAGTCCCAGGGCACACTCCAGGAGTCTCACGGTAGTCTCTGGGCACTCCAGAAAATCTCACGGTAGTCTCTTGGTGCCCAGGGTGTCTCACAGTAGTTGGGCACTCCAGGGAGTCTCACGGTAGTGTTTGGTAATGGGCACTCCAGGGAGTCTCACGGTAGCCTGTGGGGTTGGGGTTGGGCACTCCATAAAGTCTCGCGGTAGTCTCTGGAGTTGGGCACTCCAGGGATTCTCTAGAGGTAGTCTCAGCGGGCCAGGAGCGGACGAAGAGCGGGCGGGAGTAATCACTGACTTTAAAATCTAACAACCCCACACCGGGTGGGGAACAAAGCAGCAAAGCACCAACAACAGCAACAGCAACAGCAACAACAACAACAACAGCAGCAGCAGCAGCCTCATGATGGTTGCTGATACTAACAACATCTGTATCAGCCATGATGATGAGCGGATCGTTCCCATCAGTTTTTCTTTACTCTGCTTACGATTCAGAGCTGGATTGAAGTGGAACGCTGACTGCATGACGCCAAACACGTGACAAGCACAGGTACTGGCTGCTAATGCCGTTCTGAGCGCCCCGTTTTTTGCACGTGCAGCGGACCACGTCGACGAACAAGCTTACATATTATGTGAAACATTGCTCACTGAGAGCCCCCCCCCCCCCAGGATAATCGGCATTTAGTTAGCATTTTAACAGAATCAATCGTGCTTAACCGGCAAATATTGGCATTACATGAGTCCTCGCACCAGTTTATTGGCATTTAACCAGCATTCAACCAGAATTTATCATGTAATTAGAATTTACTAGCACTAAATAGCTATCTCCCCCTCCTCCTTTACATAGATTTTTCCTCACAGGAAAGGAAGGAAGGGAGTGCATAACCATCAGGCTACTAGGGTCGCATAATAACAAGCAAGAAGCTGATTCGTTCTCCCCCTTCCCATTCCTCTTTACCTCCCCTCTCCCCCGCTTGCTATGTCGTTTCATTATTAATTCTGTCGCCTTCACCATTTCAATCTCCTCCTGCATATCCATGGAGAAGAAGATGAAGGAGCGAAAAGGAAGACGGGGGAACTCGGCAGGTGCTCCCCTATCGAAGGAAGGATAATGAATGTAGGGACGCCATTCCCTCTTCCCCTGTCTCCCCCTCACCTCCGCACTACGTCCCGGAAGAGACCATGGACAGTAAACAAAGGGGCGGTGGGAGTAGGTATCACAAATCCTACCACACGCATCTCAGATCTCTTTCCATCACCTTTAGGGAGGAATGAAAATAGTAGAGAGGCAGAGGATGATGGAGGTGTTCGCCTATACTCCTCAGGATGCAAAGAGACAGAATAGGAAGGATTGACAGACAGGTGAGCGATCGAAACACTTAACAAACACTTTCCTGCTATAGGTATCGAAGTAGGGATCAACAGCCCTTTAGCTTTCGATCAGCATATTCTCGTTTCTCAGGTCCGACTAAAGCAAGGATCAACACGTCTAAGTATTAAAATAACTTTTCGTGGTCTTTGCCCGGCTCGGTTGGGCTCGGCTGGGTTTGGCTTGGTTTTGTGCATACAGGGATAGAGACAACCTGAAAGGCTTGGTTTGCAGTGTGATATTTGTCATCCTTAAAGGAAGCTCGCCTTACCTCTCACCCTCCTGCTAGGCAGTTCCCTTCCCCTTCACAAGGTAGCACTTCATCAACAGTAATTCCATCCTAGTCTGGCATTATGTGGTGCACGTCGAGCTCTCAGCAGTCGGTGCTCGCAACCAGTGTTGGGCATTGGTGCTCGGGCTTGATTTCGAGACATGTTCACGCACTTCTGGCGTGCTCTACCATAAACTCGAAACCACTAAACCTTAAACAGTTGCCATTCGACTAGTGTTCATAATGCCCTCCTAAATCATACTACTACGATTCCTCCTCGTACTCCTGCTAGCACTACGACGACGACGACTACGACTACGACACTACTAGGACTGCTGATTACAATCACGAACTACTACCACTGCTACTACTACTACTACTACTACTACTACTACTACGGCTGCTGCTGCTGCTGCTACTACTACTACTGCTGCTTCTACATGCTGCTACCGCAGCGGTTGCTACTGCTGCTGCTAGGATTGCTTCTCTGTTTGGTAAGGTAACTAATACCGTTGTTTATGTTGGCGCTGTTATTGTTGCTATTCTTAGTGAAATCCTACGATTCTAACGGCTCCAAGGATTCAAACTAAAAGCCGCAGGGGCATGGCTGGTCATGTGGGCCGCTTTTGATCGCATTCAGCGGGTGGCGCTCGATCCCGCCGCCTTTGGCCTGGATTTCTGGATTTGGGGAGACCTATTCACCCATGTGTCCGAAGTCAAAGGTTATGGAGCATGTAATTACCCCCCAGAAATATTCACTGACACACTCCCTCGTTACCAGCAATCCGGATTATTATTCCAAATCAATCCAAATCAGCTAGAGGAGCTTTGATGAGGCTCCAAGCATATGGAAGCAAGTCTGGATGCGAAGGTGCCCCACCCCACAAGACCTCGTGGCCCACATAGAATCCGGAGCAGGACCAGTTGATGAAGAGCGGAAATCCTTGCCATACTTCTACATGCCACTGGGAGAAACGACAACCCCGCTCCACGCAGATGGCGTCCTTTATGGCCATCTTCTTCTTAGATGCTGGATCTGTAATGTTTCGACTTCCATCCTCCAAGACCCAACCGGAAGATGGATCGTCGCTCTCCATCCACCAATTTGTGAAATACAGACTACGACGCTCATCGCTCCCTTGCAGATATGTCCTGGCGTTGTATTTCTCAAAATAGCCTACTGAGGTCGGATTTAGGGCAGTGTCATTGCTGAGTGCAACGATATAGAAGTTCCCGTGGTTCATCGAGGTTGCCAAGGGTGACGGATCAGGTGTCGTCACCGTATCGCAAATCGAAATACTCTCATTCTTTGAGACCCGTGCGACGTGTTGCAGCAGGCTCTGCTGAAACTCAACTTCCCCGCTCTCCGTCTCGTAAAGCTCGGCAGCAGCCAAGCTGATGCACGCCAAAAGCCGCGCCATGGGAACCATATTGATGATCGGTACGGTTTGCTTCTCGAGCAAAACGCTATTCATGCAAGCGTGCAGTGAATCTGACCCATGGGGAGAACAGCAGCAAGATCGCCACAGAAATTGATAGAAATTGCCATCAACCTGCCTCAGCAAAAGATCAAGCAAAACCGGCGCATCCTGGTTGACCCGCGACTGGCACATCGTCTTTTGGCATGCTGGCACCGGCATCAGGACATGAAAGAACCACAAGGCCGACAGGACTCACATTGAGATTGTGGTCTGACCTCGATGGCCAAGATTCTACGGCTTCGCCGCTAACTTCGGCAGTCTCAAGCTACTGGGACCACGCGCGGTCGAACGAATTTCATGCCGACAAAGAACGTCTGGCACACATGCACCTGATCATTGCGCCGGGTCAAAGTTTCCATGGCTTTCCCACTCTGACTCAAAAGTCTGGCTCTGGGTAGCCAAAAGCCTCGTAGTCTGCCTTGAAATACCTGAGTGCAGCAAAGTTTTGCCTCCATTCAATCCTCAATTCCCACTATGGAAGCCATGGTCGTAATGCCAGTCTAGCAGAATCTACTATTGCTGTCATTATTGTTGTAGCTGGTACTGCGAGTCTGCTACTATTGATTGCTAAAGGGTTGCTATGACGTTTAGCTGTTACTGATGCTCTGCTGCTATATATTACCATCATTTTTTCTATTGCTATTACGTTTTCAATTATTGAATAACGAATCCGGCTTCCAATCGGCTGCAAAACCACGCTGGTTAAGTCGAAGCCCTGCTTGAAATCAACGCAGCCTTACAATCAGTAACGCAACTCGGATAGCACCGGGAAGGGGATACCATGATTTCATCAGGGTCGAGTCTGTGGAATACTATCTCCCAAGAATGTCGCCCATGCAAAACAAAACACAAAAAAAAGACGCACCAACTTTAGCGGATGCGCTCATACACGGCTGCTTTGGTTTCCGGTCTCAAGTCCGCCACTGTCATGTTGCAGCTGTCTGTCCAGCTGGACATCAAATCTTCTTCAGGCAGTTCCACATTGCGTCCAAATTCTGCCATAAGTGCATCAAACCTGGCACAGGATCGAGGACTCCTGTATATACCCAAGGGGCCTACCACGAAGTGACCGAAGTAGGGACCATCATTGGAGCCTGGCCTGCCCTCCAGGATACCTACTGAATCCTGATACTTACGGGAGTGGAGTGGAACCCTGTAGTCATCCCTCCCGTCCCCATACTGTCCCCATACTACCCGCATTCACCCCACTGCAAAGAAGTAGGGATAGTTTGGGATTGACAGGTTTTCACCAGACGCAGCCAAGAGTCTCCTGATCGAGGTTCTCCTGATGCAAGATGCGATTGCAATACTGGTGAGTCGCGGCGGTCTTATTGGTCACGCCATATATGCTCCTGAACTTTGACCACTCGCAAGCCAAGATGATTTCGGCTTTGTCTGACAAAGGCTGCTCTGTCAATTTGCACACTGGGAACCTCGACATCCACTTAGAAAGAAAACAATGCATACAACAGGGTCTGTGCTTCAAAACCGAGCACGTGTTCCCAAATGTCAGCGGCCTAAGCAAAGAAGGAAGGAGAAGGCACAAGAGCAAGGATGACCTTGAAGAGTAATGGAGCTGATCCAGCTTTGAGCGAGTTGCTCAACTTGCAGCATGAAGAAGCACTCGTGCTCGTACGGGCCTAGCGCCAGCACAGGGTTCAGGCGAGAACACACCTTGCGCAGCTGCGCAGAAAATGCAGATGCACTGTGGCATGGCGATGCCGTTGCACGACGAACTTGATGAAATCGCGAGCATGCATTGAACCCATCGTATTGCGCATGCCTCTGGAAATTAGCTGCTTGCACAGCGTCGGGTAAGCAAGTCGGACAGAAGCTCCAGTGCTTTCTTGTTTACGGACTCGGGATCACACGCCTGAGTACCGCCAGAGATACAACACGTACGTAAAACGCATGGAAACGAGCGGCTAGACTGGTCGAATTGCCTCCCTTCACTCCCTCAGCACACCTTCTGGCTTCATGTCAGACCATCAGGCAGACGCTGCAACTGTCGTGCCAAGCGTCGTAATAAAACATCTGGAATCCACTCCAGAATCGGGCCAAAGGCTCACGCACGACACAAAAAGTAGTGCAGCGATCCTCTTGGTAGTACAAAGCCACAGCAGAACCTTAGAACCACCCTAGTCTGATTCCCATGCATTGCGCTATTTGGGTCTTCTGATGTTTTCTAGCTCGCCGTTTCATGATTCAACCTCCAAGCCCAAAACCCCTACATGCCCGGAACCCCGCAGCATTGTGCCAGGACCTGCCCACCGTACATTCATAGTATCTGAAAAATACGCATTGTATATTCATCGTGTGATGTGGCACAATATAGTATACCACAGTATTCGATATTCTTTTGTAGTATATTACGGTAATGACGTTCAAATAAATGATAGCATTTTAACATATGTGAATGTGTATTAACATTATTTTGTACTATAATCGCCGAGAAGGGATTTGACTTCGGGTCGGCAAATGCACATTGACTAACATTCGCTGGACGACTTACCGCAAAGCTACGGGGCGGGCGCGAGCAAACTACTGCAACTACTGGACTAGTACTCGTACTCGTACTAGTACAAGTACTACTTAGCACTAATACTAGTACTACCTACTACACCTACACCTCCTACTATACCACTACTACTACTACTA